TTTGCAGTAGTTGACTTCTCCAGGGTGGGCTAATAATAATGGTGGTCATCACCATCATGCTAAAAGCTAATGTGGTCGATCTCCAGTGGGACGTCAAGAGCCTTCTCCCACCATAAAAGGAGGCCTTCTCCTCGATCTCTCAGGCCACAGAAGCAGGAAGCGCCTTCTCCTAACCCACCCACGGTTCACAACAGGCTTCGCGATGCCGAAGGCCACAACTCTCCTCCTCCTCCTCATCCTCCTCCTTAGAACATCCGCTGCTGCTGCTGCCGATCGTTGCTCGCATCAACCGGAGCATGGCCAGAACATTCTGGACGAAGCAAGCCCGGTAAGATAAGATGCTTGAATGAGGATGGAGGCATTGCACTCGATATCAGATCCCACACTTGATCCAATGATATAATTTCTTGCAGTCGAGGAAGCTGCTGGTGGATCTCACGCTTGACTATGACCTCGGAGGGCCCAACACCAGGCATGATCCGAGGAAAGGGGGGAAGACCGGAAGTGGAGGAAAGAAACCTTGGACATCTCCACAGGCTCAAGATGCTCCTTCACATATTTAATCTGCTTGCTCTCCCCAATACTTCATCTCCCAACTTTCAAGTGAACTACTAATATTGCCACTTTATGTTGAACTCATGACTGCTTAGATGACAAAGGAAGGACAAGGTTGATGTGGCTACACCGTAATGAACAGGATTAGGCATGTGATCATTTAATTTGGCTATGTCTTCCCCTACTGAATCATATTCCTTTGCTCTTCATGTAATTGTCTTTTATAGAACTACTTGGAATTGGACGTTGGTGGTTGACCCAATATTTTATCTTTTATAGTTGAATCCCCTTAACCACATGATTAGAAAAATATTATGAGAAAAAAATAAATGACATATAAGTCATTTATTTAGGCTCACTTCATAAGAGGTCCACATGCATAAGAGGTCCGAAATAGCCATCGAAATGACTCGAGAGCTCCTTCAGGTCTCAATGGATTTAGGCTCACTTCGAAACCAACTTACATAATGACCAAAGTCGAATGGGTTTCCGAACCATGCTCTTCGACGCTAAAGTCAATCCCGACAAAGATAAAGAGTAAATCTAGCAAAGAATGACTGACCACGATTTTCATGTCAAAGATCATTTTTTATAGTCTGTAAAAGGAAGAAAATATTCCATGGAGCATTTCTAGATGAAACAGTATCTCAATGAGAAAAAATTGCTCACCAACTATCACAATCTTTTCCAAACAGTACAAGGTAACAGCCAATTTTGCTGTGTACCATCCTACAGTATCCCATCCCAAGTCATTGAGAAAACAAGCCATTTTACACTAGTCAGACAGGTTAGTAGATAACCAGAGGGCATATGTGAACAATAAATTAACATCTAAATTCAAGGACAATGTTCCAACATATGCAAATGATGATACAAACTCTCTGAAGAGAACAAAAAGGAGCTTTATATCTGGGGGTAGATCATGTCAAATTTATACTAACTTAGAAGACCTTTTAGAGGGTTTTGTTGCAACTGAAGCTTAAAATTCCAGTTGTGATGGAGATTACTTCAATATACTACTATAATAAAACATAAAACGCAAAAGTTGCTTCTGCCAATTAGGTTTTTCTTGACGTCGATATGAACAACACGAAAATGTACCCCTTGGTGAAAAGCTCGGTAGTAAGCAAGTTTGCAGGACACCATGAAAGAAAAATCAAGATTGTGCATTGAGGGGCATTTTCATCAAAATAGACCTAAATATTATGTAGGATCCGAAAGTCTACCTGATTTGTACTAGCATAAAATGGTCATAAGTGACACCCATAAGCCAAATTGTTGATTTCTATAATGCAAACAAAATGATAAGCCGGCTATTGACACCTACAAGTTAGATAAAAAAAATATGATCATTTGTTTTCACTTGAAGAAAAGGCTCAAATAGTGAATACTCCAAAAAAATTTGAGACCACTAGACAAGATATCATCTCTATACCCACTAACTTGGCCTCAATCACAAAGACCTTAAGAGAATAGGAAAAATAAGACATTGATATCAGCCACATGAATACTTTTGAATGGAAGAGTAAAAACAGAAAAAATCAATATCCATCAAAAGCATAAATTGGACAACTAAGATTTAATTCACATACATATCAAAAGCATCATAAAGGAGAACACAGCTAATAACTAAAGCTTACAATAGAGGTGAAAAGATGGGAACATCAAAGCCGGAAAAGCACTAGTAGGGGGAAAAGAGTGGAGGAAGCTTGAGGTTGACGGCAACTGGTTAAGCAGTTGATGCTAAAGAAATATTTAAGGCATTAACTGGGGACTGCACAAGAATGGTCATGATCATGTGTGAGGATGATTACATAGGAACGAATAATTCACAATAGGCAAAAGACAAGTTCTCAGCATTTTGGAAAAGCAGCAATTTACTTGAGACCAAACCTAAGTATCAAATCTCAGTCTGGTACCAGTCCTTGGGCAGAAAGGTGGTGGAGAAAAACCATAACTCAGCTCAGTTAACAGAAAGTTTTACATGATTAATTCAATGGTTTTCTCAGAATAAATGGTATAGAATGTAGACTAACGGATAATAGGTTACTCCAAGACCAACCAACAAGTTTTTGCACCACTAAATGCAGCCAATAAATTGCTGATTAGATGGATTGACACATGCAGAAAAATCATAGCTCAGTTTAACAGAAAACTTTACATGATTATTTCAACAGTTCAGACACACAAAAAAATGGTTTAGACTGTGTGGACAATTACATTAACAAACATGACATCATCAATATTTTAGTATGTGTCAGATCATACAATAAAGAAAAACTAAACACTCTAATTATACCTTCCATTACAGGGAAAGTTCTTTAAAAGCAAACAGAAGCCCAATCAATTTTCTCTTAAAACACACCTGCAAAGTGCACTGCACCTTATCAAATGGATACCTGAATGCTTATCTGACAAATAAAAAAAATGCAAATGAAGGAACAAAAAAAATGGACTTCAGATCCTTAAGCCCGAGGTAAATCATATCAAGACAGAATTCATTCATTCAATTTTGCGGAAGTTTATTCAATTGAACTATACATATTTTGTTCCAAACAAAATTCAAATAAACTAACGTATTCCACTCGTGGGAGGATTTTCTTTTTTTTCTCCAAAAACTGCTCATGTCTATTTCTCATGTTACCCTTACTCTACATTTTAATATATATCTTATCTCCAATGTTTGTTTCTCAATTCACCAACTGACCAGCCACAAACCAGATACCGCCCATCCTGAATCTACTAAAATGTTTAGTTGTGTTCCAAGATCAATGTTGCCATACTACTACTAACATTTAAGGAGGCATGTCTATTTGGAACTTAAAACCAGTTACTTTCTAAATAGAAAAACTTCTCCAGCTCTTTCATATCAAAGTTACTTTAGCATAGATCTTGCCAACTAACAAGAATTTAATTATCAATAACAAAGTTTCCTAATACTCATGGATTTGTTATGGTAAATAATTAGCATGAATACAATCATTAATATCAGCATACAAGAAATCAGATAGAATAATCAACCTCACCTTGTTCTGCATAACCCACAACCTCAGATTTCATCAAATGATCAGATTTTCACTTTCTTCATTAACAGAATAAAAGGAAGGCAGAGAGGTTATTTCAACAAATATCTTTCTTCCTAAGTACAATGTAGTATATATAAACCAAATATGAAAACAATGACATCTATAGTGACATTTTCACCAAATGGCTCAAAGGAAATAAAACCCAGAACCCATAAAGCATGGAAGATAGAATGTACTCCTAGCTTGCCTCCATGCGAGACACCCTTTGCAGCATGCTCTAGTATATAATATTATACTATGCCAATGAACCAACATTTATAATTTATAACATTTCAGTAACCCTACCCCCCAACAAAAAAAAAAGGCCTACTATAATCACCACAAATTCCTTGTTATTATAAACAAAAAGCATAATGTCTGATAATCTTTACTCTGCTAAACAACACCTCCACTTCAAGCAAATATTAATTCATGATACAGTTAACAGCGGTTGAAGATCTATGTTTTGCACCTCCACTCCACTTGATGGCATACAAACTCAAGAGGGAAGATGGATTCTTTGGCTCTGAATTTTGTTCATGTTATACAGTCACACAATTTATCGTATGTCTTTTTACTTCAGTTGCGCTTACAAAATCAATTTCCCTAGCCATCTGGATTTACTATAATTAACTTCTTTGGTCATTCAAAGACAAAAATCATTATAGCCAACCACAAATATTTAGCCAGACAGTTGTATATCCAGCAGCATGCAGGTAAACCTCATGGTTCACAAAAGATCATAGAAAAGTCACTAATTTCTAATAAAGGCAAAAAGTTCAGCTGAACCATGAAATTGGATGAGGTCAATGGCATAGAAAGCAACACCTAAACTCCTTGCAATATGCGATAACTATCCAAGTTAAACTAATTCCATATCCCTCCTCTAAAGAATTTAAACATATAATGTTGAATTATTTCATCAACCAATATGAAGTTTCTCAATAAAAACTATAAATATTGGGTCTACCATGGACCTCCTTTACTTCCACTTCTAAAAGATCGGCAAACCTGCACTCTGAAGTCTCAAAAATCTTCAGTATGCCAACATATCAAGCTGCATACTGACACAACCACCACAAACAATTAAAGAGTAACCAACATTAGAAGGGTCTGAAATACCAAAAATAAAAATTCAGATAAATAAAAGCACAGCAGGTGATAATTAGTAAAAGACTCAACTATGTTTACAATCTTGGTAGCTGCTCAAACTCCATACCTGCTGATGCTTAATAAGGAATATATATGTACACATGATTCAACAATTTAACCAACAAATCCTAACTATTCAAATATTGATAAGTTACCAGAATTTAGAAATCATTGTTCGCTTTAAAATTTAAAAACAATAACCTCTCACCACCATTTTCTCTTTCATCCTACCAAAACTCATAATACTTTGAGATATAATTCAAGATACCACACTCTTTTTGCTGTTAACATATGCAACATCCAAACAACAACAAACTCATGTTCATTGTCTTGCGAAAAGAGTTCAAAATGATCAAATTCTAATTTAGCTCATACAAAAATTTCAAAAATTCTTTGTTCACTAGTTTTGAGGACAAACTAACTCCTTAAGCTAAGTGCTCATTTATAGTTGTGAATCCTCTACAGAAATACCAGCATCTGCAAAATTCAGAAAAAAGCCATAGAATTGTTTGACTGGAATGAAACTTTAAAGTCTCTATTCTGCAAACATGTTCTTCGTTGAAGCTTCTTGATTGGCTGAGGTCAAAAATAAAGTGCCGCAATAACAAAAAGTCATTGATTAGATACTTAACAGACCAAGTCCAAAAATACAAGAACATAAGAATAGGTATACATATGATGTATGCCCATCAAATGAAGCATCATAATACCTATTCCAAATTGCAGCAATCTTAATGTGAAGATCAGAAAGATCAAGCATGAAAAAATGAATGTCACCTCAGGGTTTGGTGGAATCTAAAGAACCAGTTTCACTCAATACAAAAGCCTGGATGAGGCTTTGGGCAGCATGGGTCTGCTCTGGTGTTCCAGATATTATAATCACTGTCTCTGTTGCCTCAGGTCTGGGTTCAGTGATGGTAATTTTGGCTTCTGAGATCTAAAATATGGGGAAAAGAAAGGTTAAAAGTGAATAAATAACTGTAATGTACAATAACACATATCACGCAAACCTCACGGATATGCCTCAGGCAACCTCCATCTTCACCATAGATAGAAGGTACAAGGGATCGAGGAACCACAACATCTACACTTGTGATAGGCACTGGCTGGCTTCCACTGCACCAAAGTGAACAGAATTAAAGGAATTCCGTTTCATGCAAGAAATTTCAACAAATAGCATAAGTAGGTGGAAAAGCTGACCTAGCAAATCCACCCATCCTTCTTTGTGGAACTCCTCCTGGGTAATCAGGTAAAGGCATGGGACCGCCTACATCCCTCATACCCTATTTCAATTAACCAAAATGAATGCTTAGTAATGAATAAGAAGGGAGGGGGGGTGAGGGGGAGGAGAAACAGCCAGGTAATGTTAACAAGTAGTTCTACTTCAGCAAACATGCCTCAGATGATATGCTGGCATTTCTTACTATCCATAAACAGAATTTGTAACTAATTGACAAGGATAAATCAACTTTGTTTTAGGACCAGAACCTTAACACTGGTGAGCTAATCCACCAGAACAAATTGAAACTCATCAGACCAATAGAACAAGAAATTTCACATGCTAGGATTCTAAATCAACTTTTAGAAGACTACTAATTAGTTTAGTCTCTACCAATAGAAGGTGAGGAACAAAAACTGAACTGCATAACAGAAGCATATATCACGAACCAGTTTCAGCTCGAATTAAAAGCATATGAATCAGGATTCTACCAGTCATAAGAATTATTTGTAACAACAAGAGGATAGCAGTGCTAGCAAAACCTGAAAGTTTAAACAACAAAATCATCCTTGGTCCATGCATTTATAACAAAGGAACAGCCACATGCATGGGTCTCCCAATTATGCAGTGTTTGGGTAATGTTAACACTTAACAATGCACCCTACCACTGCAAACTGAGAGGTTATATAGTGACTTGCACTGTTGGCACCCACATCAAGAAGAGCTGAGAGGTTATCTAGTGACTTGGAACTGCTAACACCCACATCAAGAAGCACCACCATTAAAGAGGTGTCAAAGCCTTTCCCCTTAATAAATGCAATCATAAAACTGAATTATTTTATCAACAACTAAATGTAAATGTTGTACCTAAACAAATTGTAGAAACTACATAATCAACTTTAACATGTCATACACATTTGTAATAGGATTGCATTTCCTGTAACCAAATAACATGATCCTTGGACCCTTTAAATAAATTACATGATGAATCATTTATAATGATACTATACCTAACATCTCATCCTTCACTGCAATATGTTGTTATAGTATTTTTTGAATTGCCCACTTCTCTGATGAACACGAGAAAGCTAGAATATTTTGTAATTATCTTATCGTCCTGAGAATGTTTCCCAGCCATCTCAGCTGAATCGCTTGAGATTCAGTGTATTTAGCCCTCCCATACCAACAAAACATAAAAAGTTTTGACAGTACCATTTGAGTACAAAAGTAATCCATGTCAGATTAATTGAACCGGCAACTCACTTTTCTGTTTATATTACCCATCCTTAAAGCACCTACCTTCGGCCACAAGCACACCCATTGTTTGGTATATTAGTCACTCTGTAAATATAGTACAGTCGTTTCTTTAACATGTTACATTGTGTTTTTGTTTTTTCCCTTGCTTTTTGCTGTAAAAATCTGTCTGCTAGGCATGTCTATGAGAACACTGAGTCAAAACTGACCAAAACATCACACTCTTCATGTTCTATGGCACTGCTTTCTAACACCATCTGTACAGCATGAAACATCAGATTCCCCATGTGGTACAGTGCTATATGGGGCTCCAGTTATGCATCGGAGACAAGTTTGAACCTAATTAAGTCACACCACAGCGCAACCTAGGCATTTCAAGCACTTCAACACCTGATTGTTGCCTACTGTTCCTGGTCTTGAGGCTTGCCTTTTGCTTTGGCAACAAAGTTCATAAGTTGTTTGTTGAATTACTTGTTCCACTGATCCCCATGGCAACAATGGCATTTTGCCCGCAGCTCACCCCTTCAACTAACATTTTCTTTCCTTATCCTTAGTGTGTTGCAAATAGGCTAACCCTTTGCGAACGATATTGCTACGGTGCGCACAACTTAAGCAATTTCAATCAAGTATGTAATAATGGGCCACCAGAGGGAAGAAGATAACTTAAAAGTATTGTATGTATCATTTTTGCTCCATTTTAGTTCTTTTCCCCCATCAGCAACTGGTTTGTCAGCATACAAAAATCTCAAGCCATGTTTTTTTTTCAAAAAATAAGTAGCAAAGACAGGATTCGAGCCTAGAATCTTTACCAACGAAGCTAGCTGACACCTTCATCTCAGGTCATGTTGCAATTCCACAATCCCCCACCAAAACTTGCTAGAACAACATGCAAATAACACTTGCATTACTAAAAAAGTATAGCAACCCTAGACTATTTGTTGCATAACCATTTGGAGTATGAGAACATGTCCATTTCAGTGACCAATAAAGTGTTATTGTTATGTTATGTATGTGCAATCCCAATTTTGTGCTTTTCCAAACAATGACAACAGTTTTGCCCATGCATTAGCTCTGTAGAATCTCTCTTTGCAGATCCTACAGGATCACAATAAGTTAAGGGTAAGCCTTGGTGAGCAGAAATTATTTTGGAGTTGGCGCACAGTTTAGGCTTGGTATAAGTATAACATCCTCGTTATACCAAACACTAGAAAAACTAGAATCTGCTCATGCTATGCACAAAACAAAACAAAAAATATATTCCTTTCACTCCCCAATTCCAACAAAAGTACAATTTTTTTTTTCTCAATGAAACAAAAAAGTAAACTACAAGACAAATACAAACCTTTTAGAAACAAAACAATGCTTCAATTTCAACAGATATCAGTAATACCAAATTAAAACCTCCTACGTAGAATATTCAGCCTACAAAATCAACTCATACCCTACAAGCTGTTGCATTACTCATCAAAACCATTCATAACACTATCTAAAAAAAGCTTGTACCCAAACAACAACAAGCAGCATCAGTGACGGTATTACAATTTTTTTCAACGAGCAGTGAAGATATTACTATCTAAAAAAAGCTTGAATCCAAACAACAACAAGCAGCTTGAATCCAAAATATTTTTTTCACTCCCCAATTCCGACAAAAAGTACAATTTTTTTCTCTCAATGTAACAAAAAAGTAAACTACAAGACAAATACAAACCTTTTAGAAACAAAACAATGCTTCAAGTTCAACAGATATCAGTAATACCATATATTAAAACCTCCTACGCAGAATATTCAGCCTAAAAAATCAACTCATACCCTACAAGCAGTTGCATTACTCATCAAAACCATTCATAACACTATCTAAAAAAAGCTTGTCTCCAAACAACAAGCAGCATCAGTGAAGGTATTACAGCATGTGCTGCAGTATGAAAAATGGTGCATACTGATAACAGTACATCACAAAGCATAATATGATAACAGATGCTACTCCATACAACATACCAACATCTGACTGGTGGGTTTGCATGACTAGCAAAGTAACCAAATAATATTGACCGCAGACTGGTCACTAACAATACTGAAAACTACTGACTATACAATGTGAGTTATTACCTAAAAAAGGACTATTCTTTTCCAAAATTTAATACAAAATATAAATATTGCCACTTTTATTTTATCAATAAAGAAGACACAAGAATGTGATACCTGAGGCAGCCATGGTGCAGGTCTTTCAATACCAAGTGGTGGAATACCCAGACCATGAACTGGATGTGCAAATGCAGATCTTTCTTCAAACAGGCGACCAACAGGATCCTTCTGAAATGGGGGCAAATTCGGGTACAACCTGGAGGGTGAAGATTCCCTCCTCCCCATGTACAGACCATATGGAGGTAATTGCTCGATAAAAGCAGGAGGCGCATTAGGATTCATAGCAGATAACTTATCACGAAAAACGTGATGCTTCAGTCTAGAGGTTATTTGCAACAAAGCTTCCTGAACTGCTCCAAATTCACCAGATATCTAAAAAAACACTCAAGCATCATGTTTCTGCCCTGATCAAAATCGAGCATAAACAAAGACATTTGGTAGAAAAAAGAGAGGCAAGAGAAAAGTCCAGGATCAAACCATTTCATACAGGAACTAATCAGAAAAAGAAGCAGCAGCCAAAATATCCACAGTAAGCGATCCACAACATACCTGGACTACCTCATCATTTTCTGGCACACCCTTGGGGATCTGATCTTTACCGAGAATACGAATATGAGCTCCCGAAAGCTTCCTCATTTCTGCTATTATAGCACCACCTTTGCCAAGAAGACAACCAGTTTGGTTGGAAGCAACAAGAAGCCTTGACAAAACAGTGCTATCTTTAGCATCTGGTACAGCCATCACTAGTCTATGCTGAACACGAAGAACTGCATCCTGTACTGGTGCGATCCTATCACTTGGAAGCTACAGAACACCAATACCCACATTAGTAAAGTGACATTATCTGTCATAACAGTCTAACAATTTAAAACAAAATTGACTATTATCATGGAGTTGAAAATGCAACCTTCTTTATGGAAAAAAATATCAAACAAATAATGGCAAACAGAAAACTTTCTGGAGAAGCGACATGGAGTCACAAAAATCCAAGAAGGGATGCAAAGTAATGAGAAATGCTCAGATAGGTCGTTTTTAGCGTGAGATACAAGTAGCCATTGGACAAACACATGATAGTTTTTTTTCCCTGCTTTAATGAAATAGGTGAGCATGAGATTTCACTAACATAGCTTTTTTTTCCTAAAACAGTAAATCCAAAATGTCATAATTCTCCAAGGACTCAAGTAAACTAATCTCAGAAGTTACACCATGATTATCTACTTCAGATATCACAGAAAGAGCATAAGCAATTATAACCTCCAGAACATAAGACAAGAAGTAATGTCAAAGGTACATTTGATTTGGTATTGAAGTATCTAGGTTAAATAATCGTAATACGGGTGATTTTACCCAGTGTTTTGAAAGGCACCCGGTCACTCACTTAGGTGCTCGGGCGAGGCGAGGCCCGAGCGCCTCGCACAGTGGTCAGGCAACACACTTCAGTGAAGCACCGCCTCAGTGCTCGCTTGAGCCCAAGCGTCGAGTGCCACGAGCATGTGCTCGATTGAAAGTGAGCAATCGAATCATACTATCAACTCTGGTTCGATTGAACAGAAACTTAGTTGGTTCAATGGAACCAACTAAGCATAGTAAACAATAACGATAACCCCCTCCCCTCCCACGACCTCTGACCCACTAACAATAAACCCTAATTACTCTCGCAGCCCCGACCCACCTTTCGTCCATCGCCGCTGCATTCGTGTGCACCTCCCTCCGCAACCACTGCTTTTGTGTGCAACTCCTTCCGCTGGTAAGGGACAGGACAGCAACGTTATCCGCCACCAACGAACACATCTGAAGCTTCCTCCATCCCCAACAACGTCACCCTCCACAGCTTCCTCCGCCATCACTGTCGTCATCCGAAGGTTCCTCGATCACCGTCGCCCTCTCCTTCCCCACCTTCCACCTTCGGTGACTCCTGTTCTTCCCCCACTGTGTACTTTTATAACTATGTTAACAGTGGATTAACTCCTATTAACAATGGATTATTAAAACAACTATTCCCATATCTTTTAATAAATTAAAACTAATATTAACCTTAGAACTATTGACCCTATTTAGAACTAATTCCTATTTAATACTAATCCTTATTTAGCACTGTTAATCATATTTATATATTATATTTAATACTAATTCCTATTATATATTTTTATATTTTAATGTTCTAGAGAGCCTTTACTCGAGCGAGAGCCTAGGCATCTCAAGCATTTGGAGACCTACCTAGCGCTTTTAAAAACACTGGTTTAACCTTAAGAAACTAGGCTAACTAGGCCAGCAATGAAAGTGAGAGAAGGTTCTTGCAACTTATTAGACATGACGTCTTATCCCTCACCATCCAGGTAAGACATTTTTTACTGTGTTAATCTGAATTTTCTTAGCTCTGGTATTTAGTATCATTAAACCAATAACTACCAGCTTAACCTTCTCAACACCAAATCAAATGCGGCCTAAGAATTGCCACAAGGGTGTGCAGACCTGCAGCCAAGTCAAGAAAATGACAGGCAGAAGTAAGTTAAGAAAGAGGAAGAGGGGGTAGTTGGGGTTCATAAGAGAGCATAATTTGCAACAATAACATCTTACACATACCAACTGGTTTAATTTATTTTTTTATGTATAATGTAACATGCAACAAGATTGTCAATATCTTACAGTGACACATGGTGAACATGACATACCAAATTCTTGAGCAGCTAATGGAGCAATGGGTGTATGGATTAATCTCAGCAATCAAAGATAAGAATTTTAAACAAAAAATACTTTTAGTTATGTTGAAAAAAGAAATGGTTAAAAAAAACCAACAACAAAACCGTAAGTCTTAACTATTTGAGATCGGCTAAATGGTTAAAAAAACTGTTATTGTTAAAATTTTAATTAAAGCTTGACCCAAAAATAGCATTTCCCCAAGATTCTCTGAATTGAGTTCCATTATGCCCATGCTGCTTGTGATACAACAAAAACCAGCAAGCAGTATGAAACCAGTTTCAGGAGAAAAAATACACAGGCTTCAGCCACTACCTGAATCATTAATGAATTATTATCAGAGGAGAAAGCCGAGGAGGATAAACTAGAAGCATACCGCAAGACCAGATATCACTATAATCCGATCATCTGATTCAGGAGTTGTCTCCAGAACTTTAATTTCACAACCAGTGTCATTTTGAAGAGCTTTAACAATGTTCCCTCCCTTCCCTATCACACTTCCAACTTTGTCACTGGAACAGAATAACCTGTAAGTTATTAGCTCTGGAGAAAGTTGAGGCTGCAGAGGTGGTCCACTTTCATGAAATTTAGGAAAAGGTGGACCGATGCTTGGATGAAAGTCAGCAATGTGATGGGGCCTGTTTGAGAATGGTGGCCCTTGATGGGGATGATGATAATTTAGCGGTGGAACGCCTTCTGGCCGAGGACCAGAAGCAAATGGATGAGATGATGGACCAGAAGAACCCATTGGAGGGAACAAATCACGTTCACGGGGTGGATTATCCAGAAGCTGCTGAGCAACTAAATGAAGAGCTTTCTTCACTGATTCAACCCCTCCTGTTAACTGCAAAGTGATATTACAAAGTTTTAGACATTATTCATTGATCGACACACTGCTTCTCTTAAATATCTAAACTAAAACAAGAGAAAAGAAAAAAAACAGAAAATAGTACAAGATGCAAGAAAGCAATAAAACAACAAGGATAAAACAATGGCAAAGACTGATAATTGAAACAGTTGCTAAATATCCTCAAAGTACTCTTTACCTGGACAATTTCATCCTGTTGTGAAGCACACAATGGAAGTTTATCTCTTGGGAGTATCCGTATCTGGGCTCCACTATCAGCTGACATTTGCTTGATTACACTCCCACCCTTTCCAAGGAGGCAACCCACCTGGTTAGACAGAACTAGTAATCTTGCAGAAACATTGGAAAGCTTCTTATTTGCTTCATCTTCATCGTCATTTTCTGCTTCACCTTCAATTATTCTCTCAAATACAAGCAGGAGAGCCTTCACTACTGATGATGGTACTCCATCAAACTTTGAACTCTCCACAGGAGAAGAATCCTTAGCTCCTTCAATGTTCTCAGTGATTTCCTGGGAGTTATCACCACCATCATCGGTACCAGTTTCTTCATCATCTTCTTTACCCTGTTCGTTGCCTAGTTCTGCATCTTTCTCCAGCCCAGTAACTACAATAACTCTCTCATCACATCCAGGGACAGTCTCTTCAAGTCTAATCTTTGCACCAGTCTCTTGACGTATCCTTGCTACAATACCTCCACCTTTACCAATCACGCTTCCAGATTTTGAAGCAGGACAAAGTACTCGGAAGATAATAGCACCTGGAGGCACTTTCAGCTGATTTTGCTGTGTTATAGAAGGTCCAGTCTTTTGCCACTTACCCCTACCATTGGGCTCTAAGGGATTTCGTTCATAAGGACGCTTGGAAGGTAAAAATGGAAACGCCATGTGCTTCTAAGCCACTGATCCAACAGGAGCAAGACTAGTTAAAAAACAACTTGCAACAAATCAGATCCAAAGAGAAAAGATACAGCAGAACACCGTAAAGCATCAAGCACATCAAATAAAAAATCCCAGATGAAACAAAGACATCACATAAAAAATTTATTTTCTCAGACTAGTAGATTTTCATGTATTCTTTTTTGGGTTAGTTCAAATTGTTTGAGATTGTCAACATTATATTTAATGCATCCTTGCTAACCAACAATGCTAGAGTCACAAAGCAATTCAGATTTGAACCCCAGAAAATAGTGACATCATTAAAAATATATATAAGAGCCAACATAAGCTAATGCAAAAGCTTTTAGGTAAAGTAAATTTATAACTGTGTTAAAATTTTGCATTTAATAACTCACACGACTAAGCAGTCGACCTGCAATCAAATCACCATCTTAAAAATTGATGGGTGGCAACAGGTTGTCAAACTAGCTTTTCGAGCTAGGCTCGTACAGGGAAGCAACTTGGATTGTAGGATCAGATCATGAGATCATAAGATCCAACAATTTATTAAAAATTTAATTTTAAGAAACATACATATAATTACAGAAATTTATAAATATTTTTATAAGATTTAACAACACTTGTATATTCCTAAGTTAATAATTACATTTTTTATCAAAGTGAATGCATAATCTCTTATTTAAATGAATAACAATTTTATTATTTCGTGTCTCATTTTTTTTTTAGGTTCACAACAATTGATCTCTCCACTCAAGCATCTAAAGTCAAGAATGATACTCATTGAATAACAATTTATTATACATCTGCATTAGTGATGATATTTCGACTGTAACAATTAAAAGTATCATGACCTTAACCAAATCCATGCTTTCTGGTTTCTGTATATGACTGGAAGAAGGCACGCTAACTTTCTTGAATAAGAGGTGTTATAAGCTACACATCAGAGCCTAATCGATCACGTGTGCTGGTATATGAACAGGTATATCAACAGAATTAAAGAGAAGGAGAATTTATCTTTACATGACATCATTCTCTTACCAAGCTGGAGTTTAGTTTCAAATAGGATAACAACAGAAGACCTCCAAGTTTCTGAAATAAAATACCATGCAAGTGAACGAAGATATGAATGCAAATAGTTGTCTAAGTTCATCAAGAATAATCACAACTTTTTTTCTCCACAAACGAATATTGACACCAGAGAAATAAGAGACAGGAGGAGAGGACGAGAGGATGACATGAGAAAGGAGGAGACAGAGGAGAAGAGAGGGGAGGAGACAGGAGAAGAAGAGAGGGCAGGAGAGGAGAGGATAAAGCAGGGTTGTGGATGAGTGGAGAGCATAAGGCAGGGAAGAGAGGAGAAGACGGGAAGACGGGAGGAAAGGAGACGAGAGAGGGAAAAGAGAAGAGACGAGAGAGGAAAGAGAGGGGAGGAAAGGAGAGAAGACGGGAGGAGAAGAGAGGATGGGAGAGGAGAGACCAGAAGAGGGTACGAGATGGGAGGAGAAGAGAGGGAAAGAGAAGAGACGAGAGAGGAAAGAAGAGGGAGGATAAGAGATTGGAGAGAAGAGTACCGGGTAAAGGAGGCGGCTTGGCCCGCGACAACGGCAGCGGTAGGTGGCGGCTAGAGGTAGCGGCCGAGAGGAGGTGGCTCGGTCGGCGACGTCGGCAGCGGCAGCAGAGAAAAAGTTAGGGCTGGCTCGTCGCACGGTCCCTGGCAGTGCACGCCGCCTCCGCTTCTCTCTGTTAGTTTTTTACCCTTTTTCTCTCTTATATCAACACATCGAGTCGACTCGGTTAGTCGGCCGATTGTATCGAGTCGACTCGGTTCCACTCGCGAGTTAACCCGAGTCCATATACATGGCCAAAAGAAAACCTGATGCATCTTATTATCTCACTGCCTCAGACAAATATAACACGAAAATACAAATGAACGAAGAAAAATATTTTCAATTATTTATTGGGTGAATTTTTGAAAAAAAATAATTTTTTTAAAATAATTATATTATCTCTATCGATCGTCGCTTTCGCCTAATATCATCGTCCTCGTCAGATCGAACTTTACATGTCTCGTTCTCGCTCACGACATATGCAATTAATAGCCCTACTGCTCTAACTCCTCTCTTATTTATTTCATCAGATTTACCCTTAGGCACTTCATCCAATGTTGTCTCTACTCGTAACATAGGTTACAAATGATATAAGAGTAAGGGGAGGCTATACGTGAGAAAAGAGGGAACTGAGGCTATGGGGTTAAGGGCAAGTTTGACAGGATAACTGAGAGAAAAGTTATGACAACGAGAGTCAATAATCATTTATGCCACGAGTAAAAACGATCAGAGCAAGACATATAAGAAGAATCCGACAAGAGCTAGTTGGATCTAGAAAGATAAGAGATGATAAAAGGAAACGAGGGCGATGATATAATAAATAGATAATGACTTGTCCAATATAAGTAATGGTAAAATCATATTTTTACATAACAAATGATGCTCTATGAGAATTTTTAAATATTTAAATATTTTTGTAGGAATGTCTTAAAAAACTATATATTTTCTAAAAATTCACCCTTCTTCATTTATTAAAATAATAATAATAATTTATATTTTTAGAATCGGATACATTTGAGTATAATAAATGATAACAAAATAAACCAAGAAAATAAATTCTATTTAAGAACTTGCCATATCTCCGCATCTCACTAAAACTAGAAGCAGAATAATCTATATCAATGGAAACTAACAAGAATATTTTTTGATGAAAACCCATAAAAGCACCGGATGATATATTACGAGCGATAATGAGCTATGTTGAACATCAACCAATAAGTATCGACCAATATGCTAAGTGAAAAGATTGTAAACCATATGGATAAATCGAAAGGCACATCACAATGTGAAATGATCTTAGGCTATTATGTTGGGTCGATGTTAAACTCTTAATAAATAATATTTTTGATTTAAGCCCATATTAAAAATAAACAAAGATAATAGAAAAATATTTTCCATTGATGAGATCAGAGCCACGTCATATATGATCAATCCTGAACAGTGATTATAACACCATAGTTTAATCAATGGGCCCCACGATGACGTAGTTGCTGTGCGCCACGTGTACCGTCAATGTGGGACCCTCTTACCCACGAAGCACTTGTTCGAACCCGACCCGACCCGATCCGATCCGACACGACCTATTCGATTTCGATCAATCGCGGCCCTAATGGCAACGATGTAAATATTCGCTCCCGGTGCCGGTTTCTTGTTACCCTTTGGTAAGGATGTCGTCCGGGGTTTAAGCATCGCTCTTCCTCTCCCGTTGTCGAATCCCTCAATCTCACCCATGCTCGATCATCTTCACCAATAAATTACCCGTAGATCATCTTCTCCCACCCCCTTCCTCACTCGGAAGCCTCCACCCATGGATGTCTCCACCGTTTCGATCCTCAGAAGCACCAACTTTTTCTGTAGGTTCTCCCCCTTCAGGCCCAAATCCGCCTCATCAACCCCGTCCACGAAGCACTCCTCGAGGAAGGGCACCGTCTCCTCCATTATTTTTCTAAAATCCCCGTCTTGGAGAGGTTCGTCCAGTGCCAGGAGCAGCGGCGGCAGAGTTCTGCAAGTTTCGGCACGGTTTCGGGGACCATTGAGGCGGCGGAACACACTGAGAGAGAAACTCCTGACTTCTACCGTCGAGCAGGTGCGTAGAGTTCCTCAAACCCTAGATCCTGTTCTTGATTTGGAGCTGTCCGAGGATTTCAGTGGCGAGTTAGAAGATCTTAGGACGGATGTGGATGCCGATAGACGGAACGAAATTGTCGAAGCTGTGGGCTCTGGGAGTGGGGATTCGTCAGAAAAGAAATCGGTTTTATGGGATAAATTGGAGAGCTGGGTTGATCAGTACAAGGCGGATTCAGAGTTCTGGGGAGTTGGTACTGGTCCTATATTCATGATTTACCAAAATTCTGATAGGAAGATTGTCCGGGTGCTGGTGAATGAGGGCGAGATCATCAAAAGGAACCAAATCCGAGAATCCTCTCTCGAGGAGGTGGAAGGAGCTACGGATGTGAATGCTAAGATCTTTCGTGCTAAGCTCATTGCTAAAATGATAGAGGGTGGTGAATATGCACTTCCAAGAAATAGCTCAGTGGTTAAGTTTGTTGTCGAGGGAAAGAAATTGTCTTTTGTTGATGGTATCCATTCTATCTCTCTTCGGGCTCAGCCATTTCTGAAGATGTTCCCTCGGATGGGCTTCGTGTTGTTTTGTAGTTGCTGCATTCTCTGGGCCATTGCAAAATTGTTTGTGCAAAATGATAAGGTGGAATTGTCTAGACAAGAGGCTAAGATGCTGAGGAGGAAGATAAAACTGAGGATGGAGAGGGAGAAGATGGAGAAGGGCACTGTCAAAGTTATTGATGATGCACATGAATTTCCTGTCAGTAGTAGGCCACAATTGGATATAAATGAACTGAGGAAGAGCATCGTACAAGCCAAAGCATCAACAGACAAATCATTTATAACAGATTCATCCAGTCACTTAAATGTAACAACTCAAAGTTTTGATGATAAAGTGAGGGAAATTAGAGAAATGGCAAGAAAGGTACGGGAACGAGAGCGGCAGGATAGTTCCAATAATGAAACTTCTAAGAAAACAGAAACAGATCCCATATCATGGGCTAAGAATAAGGAAAGCGCTGTTGATAAGAACAATACCGTTTTAGAAACTGAGGCCACAGGTGATAAATCAGATCTTGATATAACATCTTTGAGTAATTCGCTTACTCGCCAAGAGGAGGACATGGAATTTCATGTGGATGGAGAGAACAAGGAAATGTTTGGAAAGAGTACTACAGAGCATTTTAATAAAACTCCATGTCAAGAGTTATTAAACTCTCTCCAAGATAATGGAAATAACATGGATGTTGAGGGCCACCATGAAAAGGAAGTAACAAGATCTTCAAGTGGGGCACACTCAACTGGTGTCGATACAGAAACTGTCTTGAATTATGATTCCATCAGCAGAGGTGATATATTGAGAAATGGAGGAAACTTAGGAAACAATGACTTGGACAGTTCCATCATGGAAGAGAGAATAACTGGTAGCAGTTCATCTGATGTTTCCAGTAGAAGCACTTTTAGAGTCAAGCCGATAATAATTACATCAGTTGATGAAGCTCGGGAATACCTAGCACAAAGACATGGTATGCTATCTGACATTATACAGTCAGACCAGGAAGTGCAAGTTACAGAGCAATCAGCAGGCATAAATGCGTGGAGCCATTATAATGATGACAAAACTATGGAAAGCATAAGTCCGAGAAACATCAAGGACTTGTCTGCATCTGAAACCTCAGACAAGTTGCAGGATAAGACATTTTCTAGGGAGCTGTATGGTGATGAATTTGCTTCTGCCTCTCTCCTGAAAAGACCAAGTAGTGATGACTTTTCCATTACTGAATTATATGTGGATGATGCCGTCGATAATAAGCTAACTGTGGATATGCAGAACTCTGAAATGCAAGAAGAGAAAAATCTTGATGTTCCGTCCGATAGTCATGACCAATTATTTGTGACTCAGAATAGTGTTAATGGTACTTGTGACCTTTCTGATTCAGACACTAGTACCAAGTTGAACTCAAATGAGGTGTTGCTTGAAGTTGTAAATAAAATTGATTTGCAAACTGATTCTTGTGCTCCAAAAATGAGGAACCTGAGTGAAAAACGAGAGGATGCACATGATCAAAGGGATGAATGCACTTCCAATACTTCTGATAACCAAGTAGAACTAGAAACCCATCTTACCAGTAGTTCTGATGGTGTAAAATCTTTGATTGTAGATCCACTAAAAGATGATGAATTAAGTCAATCTCAAGAAGCAGACATTTTGAAAGATGACAACAAATTATGTGAAGAGCTACAAGGACTCCAAGGAAAAACTGACAGTTGGAATGTTTCAAAGAGGAAAAATAGTTATGTCAATGCTGGCTCAGGTGAAACTGCAGAAAATACAATGGTGGGAACTTCTGAGATGGATCATGATAATGATACTTTGTCAGATTTTGACACTTCCCTGGAATCCATGACAGAAGAACAGGATAGCCTTGATATCAGGTCCAATGTATCTGGAGAATTAGAAACGTCAAAGTCAAATGCTAATGTTTTTGATGGTGCTACCAAAAAGCACAAAGAGAATAGTATTTTAGGGTCTCCAACAAACTCTCCATGTGATTCGGGTGAAGTTGGCCGCCTTAGTAACGGAAAACAACTAAATGCTGGAAAGAGTTGGGTTGAAGAGAATTTTCAAGAGTTTGATCCAGTGATTACTAAAATTGCAGTTGGCTTCAAAGAAAATTACATGGCAGCAAAAGAGAAGATCCAACAGCAGCCTAGTTTGAGCACCGACATAAGTGAACTCAGGTTGATGGAAGGCGATGATGAACTTGAATGGATGAATGATGAAAGACTGCAGAAAATTGTATTTCAAGTTCGAGAAAATGAATTGACAGGCAGGGATCCTTTTTATTTAATTGATGCTGATGATAAGCTTGCCTTCTTCGAGGGACTAGAAAAAAAGGCTGAGAAGATTAGTGGAAATCTTTTGCGCCTTCATGAATGGGTTCACTCCAGAATTGAAAATCTTGACTATGGAGCAGGTACTTATTATTATCCATTCTGTTGTAACTCCAGGTGCTACAATACACACTTCATCAAAGATACAATTTGAATGGATAGCACAATATCATGGTGTATCATTTATTGCCAATTTGATGTAAATGCTCTTCTATATTAAAATGTCTGTGGTTGACCAACAGAAACGTGTTCCTTATTAAGCAACTAAGTAGGTACATTATTTTGTGCAAATATTCTCAATTTGTTTATCTGTTCATTATTATTATTATTTTACTTCAAACAGATGGCATCAGTGTAAATGATCCACTGGAAAAAATAATTCCCCGCTGGAAAGGCCCTCCTATCGATAAAGATCCAGAATTTCTTAAACATCAGAAGCCAATGTTTTCTGAAGAGGTCAAAGAAAACAGTCTTCAAGAAACAGATGGGTTTCCAAATTCTAAAGGTGTTTCCCCATACTCTCCAGATAATGGAATCAGAAAGATGTCTCTTGACGCATCATCTGTGAAACCAAAGACACTGATCGAGAGTAGTGATGGTACTAGCAGAGTGGGAAAAAAGAAAGGAACGGAACAATGGCAACATACCAAGAAATGGTCTCAAGGTTTCCTAGAAGTTTATAATGCAGAGGAGGATCCCGAGATTAAATCCATTATGAGAGAGATGGGAAAGGATTTAGACAGATGGATCACTGAGAAAGAGACAAAGGATGTGGCTGATTTAATGACAAAAATACCCAAAAGAAAACGGAGATACATTGAGAAGAAATTGGAGAAGCTTAAAAGAGAAGTTCAAATGTTTGGTACACCAGCAGTTGTCAGCAAATACAAAGAATACACAGATGAAAAAGAAGAAGATTACCTTTGGTGGTTAGATCTTCCTTTCGTTCTGGTAGTTGACCTGTCTTCATTTTGTTTCATATAATTCACTAGATTTTCCATGTTTATTATGTTCCAAAGTCTTAACTCCTATCTCATTTTGCTTTGTTTAACCATCTTTGCCTGCTTTTTCTCATGCTTTTTTTTTTCACTATAATTGTCTACAGTGCATAGAATTATACACAATTGAAGAAGGTACTCCAAAAGTGGGGTTTTATTCACTTGAAATGGCTGCTGAGCTTGAATTGGATCCAAAACAATATCATGTGATTGCTTTTGAGGATCCAGGAGATTCTAAGAACTTCTGCTACATTCTACAGTCTCACATGGATATTCTTGGAAGTGGCAAAGCTTTCGTCGTCGCTAGACCTCCAAAGGTGACTGTGTTTTTGGTGATGTTGTGTTTTTAAACGTTATTCCTTCATTTGTTCTGCTATGCAGTTCAATTTAGAAATATGTCGTGCATCCTTTTCCTTATGATTCAAAATGATGATACTTGTGTTCACACTGGTGCTGACAGTCCCTTACTCCCTTCATGTGCATACTCATGTGGCGGCCCATATGGGCCTTTTGTGCACATTTCAAAACATCATGAAAGTGACATCTTCACACTTCCTCTGTGTCTTATTTTGGTGTGGAGAACCTTGTGGTGGTGCAGGCTAGCCCCGAGTCTTGCAAATTAGTGAGAAATTAGATCTTAAATGCTTGCATCCTCGGTATGTCTTTTTTGAGACTTGGGACATGTTTATAGGGGAGTTTAGGTTTTTTTTCTTTATATATATAACTTGCTGATTACTGCTAAACAATTTTCAAATTTCTTCATCTGCCTATCTTCCTTGCTTCTGTCTATAGGCCACTGGACTTAACTAGTTCCTGGTTATGAGCACTGAAGCACTTTTAGGTACCTCACTAGCAGTGAACTGGCCATCTCATTATTCTCTTGTTTTACTACCATATGAACTTATGAAGTATCTTTAACACTATTTGCATGGCAGTGCTATTCTTTCTAGTGATACCTCATAATCCTTGTTTTCCCTTTTGCATGGAGGTTTTGATGCCACTTATATCTAGAATGGTCTCAAATACATTGCAGGATGCTTTTAGGGAAGCCAAAGCCAATGGGTTTTATGTTACTGTTATCAGGACAGGACTGGTCAAATTCAATGTTGACCAGACATTAGAAGAAGTGGAAGAAGAAATAACAGAGCTTGGAAGCAAGATGTACCATGATAAGATCATGAGTGATCGATCATTTGATGTGAACACATTAATGAAGGGTGTTATCGCTGCTGACAAATCCACCAATAGGTATTCCCATTGGCAATTTATGCTTACTATAATTCTTTTTAGCGTAAAGACTTGTATGGCCACAAAGTACAAGCTTACAAACATGCACATGACATTTTGAAGATATGTCAAACTTGTGCTTGTCCTTTTGTCCCATAAGCTTTGGTAATTTTTTGCTTTGATAGAACTTGTTTCTCTTTATCATACAGAAGGCCAAGACAGAAGCATATGAAGTCTACAAAGCCTGCCAAATCCTAAAGATATGATCGGAAGTCACAAGCGGGCACCAAGTTTGTTGTCCTTAGAATGTTTTTGCTCCACGAAATCCATGTGGAAGACCGTCATGGATAATTCTCGAAGGTAAGATCCATAACTTCAAGAATAATTTGTCCTTAATGTACACAACTTATAGGGTCTATTCATTGTGTTAATCCTGGGAGTGAAAAATGTGGTTCCATGCTTATAGGGTCGTCTGTTGGTAAAGGTAAACCATGGTAAGATTGTTTATTTGTTTGTTCTGAGTGGCCGGAATAGGATATCGGCTCACATATATGCAACTGTATATACCAATCTGAATTGACTGAAGTCTCATGCATTAAGCCATCTTTTTAAGCTGTTTATTTCCTTGTTAATCATCATCTCTGATCTCTCTGATTAATTCCGAATAGACAAAACAACTAACTGTCCCTCTTCTTGACACATTTGTTCATTTCTTTGTTAATCTTTATCTGTGTGATTACTGTCTGGATCAATTCTGAAGAGACAAAAGCACCTGTGCCCCTCTTCTTGTATTCAATCTTAAACTGGAAGCAGAGCTTTCTGAAATCTCTCTCGTTTATGTTCTGCAGGTTGCCTTGTGACAAGGAACGATAAGGCTCAACCCAAAGAACTCATGGTCTTTCCTACTGTACTTACTTTATCTTCCTATGCTAATTTCTTTCTTTAATTCTTCATTTCTTGCAAAGTTATGTATGTTGTCTTTTGTTGGTAGTTCAAAAGAAGAGAGTTTTGTCATTATATTATTATACAAGTGTAGGAGGAGGTTATCAATCAATGATGTATTGTTCCACTTTCTCCCTATTTAATAATAATTAAGGACCTTTTTAAGCATTATTTTTAATTAATTGTCTAACTCGAAGTCTTCCTATTAAATCATTAAAAGTCAAATAAAATTCTCTCCTCTTATTAATAATTTAAACCCATTGCCTAAATCACTCTCTCTACCTAACACCCCCAAGTCCCTAATTAATAGTATTGATTAATGTATTTGGTCAATGTTTAAAATTCAATAATTACGGCAAATCTAATATCTTATCAATTTTAGTCCATTAATTACGTTTTCCACTATTATTTTCAACAATTTGAGTAATTAAATTCAATAGTTCGCATGCTTCTTGTAAGAAGCATGCGAAGTGAACCCGTGCGGACTAGAGGAGGCGGCGGAAAGCGCCAGAGGTGACGGCCGTTAGATTGCCTCCCCCGCCCGCTACGATCGCTCCGGTCCAATCGGATCCCCCCTACCCCCACAGGGGTAGCATTGCGCTGCTCTCCGCCCTCCGTTGGACAGTACTGGCGCGTCCCTAAGGGTTCCGGTCGCCCAGCGGCCGCCAGGGGCGGCGACAAGGAGGCCTTCGCGAAGAAGCCGCGGCGCTGGCACGCCGAGATGCCCCTCGCTGACGCGGACGACGACTTCTTCCTCTTCCCCGTCGAGGAGATCGTCCAGTACCCGCTGCCGGGCTACGTCGCCCCCTCCTCCATCAGCTTCAGCCTCGATGGGCGCCTGAGCTCGTACTACTTCAGCCCTGATGGCACCCTCCACCGAAAAGTCTTCGCCTTTGACGTCGCTTCGCGGTGGGAGGAGCTGGTCTTCAGCCCGCCCGACGGAGGGGGCCTTGATGAGAGCAATCTCTCGGAGGAGGAGAAGCTGAGGAGGGAGAGGGCATTGGGTGTCACGCGTTACGAGTGGAGAGCGAGGTCTCCGTCTTGTTCTTGCTTCCCTCCTGGGAAGCCCCTCATCATGGTGCCCTTGCCCGCAGGGGTCTGTTCTCTGCTTTATTTCTTGATTTGGTTGTTTACTCTTGGGATCGACTGAGGTACCGAATTCGATTTCTTTTGGCTGGAGTAATTTTGGTTTGTGTCATCATGCTTCCTTTCTCGCAAGTTATAATGCTGTGTGTTGCGATTTCAACTGATCTTGAAGTTTCTTGACTAAATGATATGCAAAGTGATGATGTCGTCTCTGTCAACTGGTCTATTTCCAGGAAGTACGTGGTTCGGAGCCGGAGCTTAAGCTGCCGTCCTGTCCTGGTTCGCCAATCAGCGACCCGCATCTGTCTCCAGACGGAAGCATGCTTGCGTATGTCAAAGATGATGAGCTTCATGTCTTGAGTTTGTCACAGGGGAAGCCTAAGCAGCTAACTTTTGGTGCAAGAACAAGTGGAAAGGTGAGATATATGTTGCTCGTTTGAAAAATGTACTTTGAATTGATGACTTCAAGGTTTTTTCTTCTGTCTGGTACTATCAAAATTTCTGATCAGTTTTGATCTCATTAATTTGTGCAAACATAGTAGAATTTGTGTAGATATTCATGAAAGTACATCTTTGAATAATGTACGTCAGATATGGTATATAGTTCGTAAAAAGAACTGAGATGATAAAGAATTATTTTTAGAACATTCTCTTATTAGCCGTAACCATCATGCATCGAGAGTTAATGTTTTGCAATGTTCGGATGTAGGAATAGCAAGCAGCAAAGGTTGTTGTCTACTTGTCTTGTTGTACTTTTCGAATGTTTTCTTATAATGTCTCAGTTGTTGATATTAATCTGATTATCTTATAGACAACAAACATTTTTTTTACATCCTATAGTCAGCATCTGGTGGCTACCTCAGCCTGGATCATCATATTTGCGTATTTATTCTGTATGCATCTTCGCTTCCTTCTAGTAAAGAACTTATTATATCTATGAACATTTTAATGACGTATTTTTATGTACAGGTATCTGACACATCTGACCTGTTTTCTCTTTCCAGACTCATGGCCTTGCTGCATACATTGTGCAGGTTTTTACTTTCTCCTCTCTCTGTAACTATATATATTGTTGGATTCTAGTGCATTGTAAATTTTCTTATCTATTTTCTTATTCCTTTTGGCTACAGGAAGAGATGGATAGGAAGACTGGATTCTGGTGGTCTCCTGATGTCTAATATCTGGCATTCGCTGAAGTTGATTCAGCTGAGATACGTCTTTTCAGAATTATGCATAAGAGAAAAGGTTTAGTTGGCTCAGATGCACAAGAAGACCATGCATACCCATCTGCTGGAGCAGCTAATGTGAAAGTTCGACTTGGTGTTGTTCCTGTCACTGGAGGAGAAGTTACTTGGATGGACCTTCTTGTGGAGCAGACGATGAAGTCAGTGGGGATGCAGAGTATCTAGCTAGAGACAATTGGATGCCTGATAATTCTCTTACAACTCAGTTCTTGATAGATACCATTCCAAATTGAAGATTCTTAACTTTGATATTCAGAATGGACAGAAGGAAGTCTTGTACTTAGAAGCGCAGGTGATATGGATAAATTTGCATGATTGCTTCACACCTCTAGACAAAGGAGTGAATAGTTTGTCTGGTGGTTTCATTTGGGCATGAAAAGACTGGTTTTGGACATCTCTACCTTCATGACAAGAGTGGAGTTTACTTATGAGTTAGGACCTCTTACCCAGGGTAATTGGATGGTTGAGCAAATTTATGGTGTAAATGAAAATGCAGGTCTGCTCCACCTCACTGTTACCGTGGACGGGCCTTTAGAATCTAACTTATACTGTACGAAGCTTTTTCCAGATTGGAACCTTACCTTGCAACCACCAAAGAGGTTGACTTATGGAAGGGGAAGGCATGCAAGAACTTTTGATCATCATATGCAGACATTTGTTGATGTCCATGATTCTCTGAACTCTCTACCTGGAGTATTGCTTTGTTCTTTACATGATGGAAGTATAATAACACCTCTATATGAGCAGCCTCTTACCATTCCACGGTTTGGAAAGTTGCCTAAAGAAAATCCTGACTCCTACGAGTATGGGTCGACCACGCACCATGTGCACAAAATCAGAGGGAAGCTGCTGCTTGTTCATGGAATGATTGGTGAGAATTGTGCACTTCCGGCACACAGCAAGACTTGTCAACTCGCTCATTGCAGCTGGCAAGTCAAATGAGCTTCTGCTTTTTCCAGATGAAAGGCACATGCCTCGTTGACATGGAGATGTCTATATGGAGGAAAGAATTTTGAAATTTATAGAGAGAAACTTATGAATGGAGCTGTATTTTTCCCTCATCCGTCGTTGATCAAATGCTCGCTTTAGTTTTGTCTCCAGAACAGTCGGGTGGCACGTCACAAACCTTTTCAGTTTTTCTCTAATAAAAGGAGAACTGGGATCATTTGTAGGGTACAAGTCCTTTGGACAATTATGTGAGGTTTGAGCCAGTCTTTTGTCGTTCTTTTAGTTCATGCACAAAATGTTTGTGGTCGAGGTTTGGTTTCCAGAGGAAATACAAGACAAGTGAACAAGTGAACTTTCCTTCTGGTTTTGTGATCCCTGTTGAGATTGGGTACTCGTTAGAGTGAAGTGACAAGGTAGTAGTTCGATTCATTGTACTAATATTTGGGTCTCTCATGATAGAATCTTGGATAAGGATTGTAATTAGTACGGTATGTAATTTTGAATAGTACTATCCGGTATGAGCGGTACGTACCGGTCCAACAGTATACTGGTACACGGACTGTCTTGGTACTATAGTGCTATAGTAAAAGAAAAAAAATATTTAAAATCACTCTGTACATCTTGGTATATCGCTCGGTACGCGGTATCGTATCATACCGAGCTAATCTCAAAACACGGGTACGGTATGATATTATATATCTTAATAATTGATATATGGATTTACTGTTGCTAACAGCATATATGAATAAAAATATCGTCTATTTCACTGTGTAAAATGTCTTTGGAATCATTATGGATTCGTTTCCCTTTGAGCTAAAAACATTAAGCTTTCCTCAAACTTGACGTTGACTCATATGTTAATGCTGCTTTCCACCATCTGCCCCTATACATTACACTGTTGCTTCCCACCGACACCCACACGATAACTCCCCCCTCCACTGCGTAGAAAAGAGAAGATACAAGTGGATGGAAATGGACCACAAGAGCACCATCAGAGCCCACATCACTGTTGTACCAATCAAGTCTCCGGCGAATTTTTGGGAAAAAAAACTCATAATTTTGAGTTTTTTTTTGGGTAGAACACATGAAGTTTTAATTTTTTTTACAGAGTTTTTTTTATAATTATTTTACTCTTATCAATCATGATCGTTCATTGTGCCTCTGTCTATCGATCGCCCTCTTTTGCCCTATGCTTATCAACCTTGCCTAAAGCACCCGTGGAAGGGTTTATCATAGTTCGTAACCCTCACGCGAGGGCTTGCTGTCCCTCTTTTGTTTTGTAACCCTTGTGCGTGGGTTAACAGCTTACTTTCGTCATGTATAAGGCTATCCCTTTAGCCTATAACCATGTGTGAGGGTTGGTTATCCATCTCCGAGAATCTTATGTGAGGGTTGACTATCCTTCTCTATCGTGTATGAGATTATTCATTTTATTATAATCCTCGTGCGAGAGGGTTGATTGTCTCTCTCTGCTTATAGTCTCGTTTGAAAGTTAGTCACTCCCATTTAACAATCTTACGCAAGAGTTAGATTGTTCCTTCTTTATTGTGCACAAGATTACCCCCTTAGTTGCACCATTCACACAAGGGTTGATTGTCCCTTGGAGCTATCTCTCATCGGCTCCTGATAAGAACTATTGTCACAGGCTAAGGCAATAGGTCGAACAATCAGGCGTAGGTGGAGGCACGACTAGGACTAAGTAATTTTTTTTTAATGTTATAAGATTAATTTTTTTTTTTTCATATAATCAGGGTATACTAAGAAAAAAATAAAAAAATTGAAGCCTTCTATTGAAAAAAAAAGGGGGGGCCAAAGTTAAAGAGTTTTTTTTGGAAATTCGGCCCTTTAAAGTCTTCCATCGACCTTTTAGCCTCTGGTAGTCGATTCCTTTCCTCTTCCTTGGCAGCGAAGAACTATTTCAGCCCAAGGAAATCATGACAGGTTCTATTTCTGTGAGATCAGGACAACCCGATTCCTGTACCTTCTGTCATCAATTTTGTCGTCCACAGCAATCAGCACCAGACCACGATGAGTTTTGGAAATCGTAGGCTATCATTCCTAAAAACCTTTTGTTGTTCTTAGTTGAGCTGGAAACCATGTTCTGTGTAAGCTCAGGTTAGGTCCGCACTGTGGTGGCGACCTAATGAAGCTATTTTCTTCTTCAGTGCGTCATCTTAGTTGACCTGTGATGGAGTAGCTGTAGCAAAGCGTATGTATTCCAGGCCGGAGATGGTGGAACAGGCAACTTTTTGGACAATGTACAGTTCTCGGAAGTCACAGATACATCAAAGAGAATAAAGGCTACAAGGAGTAGGATAGACGAAGGAGAAGGATTGATTGGTCTGGGTGGTGGCCATCTACATGGACAAGCCAGCCAAGAAGGCCACTCCGGTTGGGGGCAGCCACGAGGAGCCGTAGATGAACTGCGCCACCGTGAACTTGCTCGCCTCCGCCGGCAGCTTGATCACCCGGTACCCGGGCCATGTCACCCTCCTCCCCAGCGCCGCCCCTGGCCCATAGTTCATGTACTCCCCGTAGTACAGTGTGTCCAGGGCGAAGGTGGCGTTCCACTCGAGCCACCCCGCCGGGTGGATGTGGTCCCCCATGTAGGACAGCATGTACACCACCCTCGAGTACAGCTTCCATGGGCGGCCTAGGTAGGTGGCGTAGCTGGCCTTCGCCTGCTCCAGGTCCGCCGCCGCCACCACCCGGCACGCGTGGATGGAGATGCCCGTGTTCTGGTTTGGGTCCTTGCGGTTCTGCGCCGTGATCGTGTTCTTCTGGCTGGCCATAGGCCTGCGCGCCCATAAGGTGCAATTCTGCAGCACCACGGCGGCGTTGCCGAATATGAAGTCGACGGTGCCGTAGACGTCGCACTCACGGAAGAACTGGCGCTGCGAGTGCACGTACAGCGTGTCTTGGTACCCGATGATGTTGCAGCGGTACACTGCCGCACGGTCCGCCCCCACCCGGAGCGCCACGGCCTGGTGCTTCTCCGGCCCCGCCCAATTCTGTATCGTGATGTCCCTCATAATAAACCCCGTCCCCGTCGCCGCTGCAAAGAGTAGTCTTCTTCCTCAGTTCGATAGAATTCGATCATGCGAATTCACAGTGAAAATGGCATACCGAAGGTGGCGGTGTGGAAGGTGGTGAAGTTGTCGTAGACGCTTCGTGATCCGGCTACGATCGTCCGGGTTTTACCGTCGCCGATGAACATGAGGTTCGTCTTCTTTCTGCCAACTTTGATGTTCTCGTCGTACCGGCCGGCCTTGATGTAGATGACGATGCGGCGGCTGCTGTAATCTGGCGCCGCCTTCACGGCGTCCGCGATGGACCTGTAGGTGCCGTTTCCGCCCTTGGACACGACCATGTCGGCCTGAATACTCGCCGCTGATACCTGAAGCAGCCGCCTGTCCTTCTTCCCCATCCACGTCGGGAACTCGTCGTCGTCCTCGATGGCGTTCAGTAGTTTCCTCCTTTTGTTGTGGATGGGAATGCCGGCGAAGTCCTTGTTACGGCCCACGCCGGCGAAGATGGCGAGGCAGTTGCTGACAAGCTCGGTGAGGTCCTTCAGCTGGTTCTCCATGTGCCCTTTGACGTAGAGGTTCTTGACCTGTTGCAGGCCTTCATTACACGTGTCCTGGTTGGTCAGGGCGCCGCTGAGCCAGGTGAGCACGTCGTCGTCGGAGGCGCCCTTGACGCGCGCCTGCGAGGACGGGGACGGCGACGCAGAGGGGAAGATAACGAGGAGCGAGTCAGAGAGCTGGTCGAGGGAGTCATCAAGCAGCTCCATGCAGTCGTCGTAGGCGGCGCGAGCGAGCGTGTCCATGGCGGTGCCGACGATGGCGGAGGCGCCGTAGATCGCGGCTCCTACGCGGTGGAGCGTCATGTTAAGGGAGATGTGCACGAGGTCGCGCTCCCCGGCCTCCAGCGCGCCCGGGAAGTCAAGCAGCGAGCTCACGCACAGCGCCGGGTACCGAGTCAGGCTGCAGGCCCTGGCGATGGCCTGGGTCGGCGCCCGGCTCGCGGGGGAGACCGACCGGGTCCGGCCGCGGACGAAGAGCGCCACCGAGACGCCGGCGGCTACAAGCAACAGGACAGCGAGGAGGCCGACCCAAAGGAACAGCCGCTTGCGACTCGGCTGCAGATGGGGTGTGTAACGAGTGGACTCAGACGAGCCGAGTCGGCCATAACCCATCCTTGGAGTCTGCTTTCGAGCGAGAGAGAACAGTTGGGAGAAGGAGAAGAAAGTGGAGCAGAAGTCCAAGTGGGTGCGAGTGAGGTATCTAAGGCAGCGGCAAGAGCGGTCGGTGAGATGTCCATATCCTGCAGCATGAGCTGGCTTCTACTCCGCCATCCTGCTTTCCCTGTGCTAAAGATCCCCATTTGCTTGCATTATCGTACTTTGGATGGTATCAGGTCCTGATAACATATTCCCTTCTGAAAGCAGCAGCCTTTGAGGTGCACTTCACTGCTTCAGCATGTTAGCATTTGTCGAGGTGAATGATCAAAGAAGAAAGAAGAGGTAGAAAACACAGTATGTGTTGCACGATTAGGAGCTAAGGTGGGTGGAGAGACGGGAGCACCAAGTGTTTGTCGAAATGCTCAAACAAGGATGAGGGAGGGACCCACCAATGGAACATTGCTATATATAAACATAGAATTTTGGGTCTTCACACGAAGGGTTGACCGAGTGACGTGGACGGGGCATATCCGACAGCAAATCCAGCAACAGATGGCCATAGGAATCGGACGCGGGATTACCGTCGTCGGTTGGGATCTATGCTTAGATTAGCCTCAACCGCTCACGAGCCCCAGCGTCAACGACGAAGGAACGACGCAAACCCTCAGCAACGGCCACCACCACCACCACCACCTTCTCTTGAATTAATCCTGCTGCTTCTTCCTCTCCATCTCCATCTCTTCCTCTTCTGCTCCTCTCTCTCTATCTCTACCTTTCTGTGTAATTCCCCTCCTGTTTCTCCACTGGCGCAGGAGGAGAACCAGAACGGCTGATCGATCGGAACAATGGGTTGGTCTCCGGAGAACGCTGCCAATGCATACTTAGATACTCTCAAGCTGGTAATCCTCTTCCTTCTCTTGTTTCTTATATGATGTGCATTTGAATTCAGAGACCAATCCGTTTGCGTATACACAAACAAATGGAAACATCAGCATTCTGTAGGAGACGAGCAATAATCTCTCTGTTCTCCAAAAAACAGCAAATCTTATTTGAGATAGAATCCATTCTTTGTGTGCCCAATAACAAAGCAAGAATTTTGGGCTTGTCATATCCTATTTCTTTGTACTATTCAACATGTTATTGGATTTCATGACACAGGATTTGCTTTTACTTCATCTGAATCTTGTTATTGATGTTTTTAGAATCAATCTAAAGTAGATGAGAACCAACAGAGCACAGTTTTAATTGTTCTCTCATAATCTCATATGACCTGTTTATGGTCTCGTTAGAAATCGAAAAGTTCTGATACCATGTTAGAAATAAAAGTTATGAGACCATGTTAGAAATTTGGTAGAAACCAAAACTTTGAGAAGAGAAAAAGGAGATTAGAAAAATCAAAGAAAGACTCTATTACTTGAAACCTTACGGAATCGTCGCCTCATTGCCCGCCACCTCTCGATTAACTTCAGGTTAATAAAGTCGCAAAGGGTCTTTTTAATAACCATATAGATTAGTAGTTTTGTTGGGGATGGAGGAGCAAAGAAAAAATAAAATACTACGATACAAGTAAAAAGAATCTTTTCGATTCAAGAAAACTGATGTAGTATTTAAAACAAGAGGATTGACATAAAATATTTATAAAATATTCTCAAGTATATTCTCAAATATTTATAGGACCTAGTGGTAACTACTCATATCATTATGTCATCTATGATTGAGGTAATTATTGAAACTACCATATAACTTTTAGATCATGGTAACTACTTAGATAACTATGAATCAATTTTTAATAATTTTTACTCTTAATTAAGCAAAATTCTAATTCAACTTAAATTTTTAATTAAATTTAAATTATATATGAAGCATTTGCTATGCATCAGAAATAAACTAAATTCTCAGAGGATTGGTTTGGTTTTGCAGCGTAGTCAGGACCATGGAAGAAGAAACGAAGCTCAGAAATCAGTGGAACCTGAGAGCATCGAGTTCATATCCGCCTTGGCAGCTGGTATGGGTGCCAAGTTGATAGTCCAGGTCTCACCGAAAGCATCCCAATCAACGGTGGCCCTCGCTGCGGCAGCTCGACGAACCGGAGGGAGACTCGTCTGCATACTCCCGGAGGAAGAATCCCTGGCTTCCACCAAGGAGGTCATCGAGGAGTCCGGCCTCAACGACATAGTGGAGTTCAAGGTCGGGGATCCGTACGAGCTACTGCCCGAGTACGAGAACATCGACTTCTCCCTGGTGGATTGCAAGTCCGACTCCTACACCGGCCTGCTCAAGTTGATCGACGTCAACCCGAGGAGTTCGGTGGTGGTGGCCAATCATCTGGAAGGAGGGAAGGAAGGACTTCGTGGTGATGTGCGCGGCTTGAACAAAGGCGCGGTTAGATCCCTGAAGCGTCCGATAGGAGAGGGGATGGAGGTGACGATGATAGGAAAGATCGACGAGGCCGGGACGATGGCCACCAGAGGCAGCCCGGAACCGAAGCGGGCGTCCAGGGGAGGAGGGAGAAGGTGGTGGTCTCGCAAGAAGAGCAAATGGGTGAAGAAGATCGATGAGAGCGGAGAGGAGCACATCTTTAGGCTACCGCAGTCGCTTTAAGACCACCAATACCGCGCGAACTTACTACTATCCTATCTTACGTGCATCATGCAATACTGTGGAGCAAACACCTTTGCAAATAGCTGTTGTGGCTTATAAGGTGGAGTGGGTGTGTTTGAGAAGATGATGCTGATGACATGTGTGAGTGGTTGACCTATGTGACTTGTTTGTCATGCCTACCGTCTCCTTCCCTCCATGGAACAACTTGGATGGGAGGAGAAAGGAACAACATGAATCGATTCAGTTGCTATGGTGAACAGAGGAAGGCCAGGATTTTGAGGAACCATGGCAGAGGCACAAGACTTTGGCATCAAGTTCAGCTGTCAGGCTGGTTGTTCTTCTTATGTGTTTATGATTGAGATGCATGTAAATCAAGTGAAATGAGTGTAATATATTAACAATTTGTTCATAGTAACTATATTATCTATCTCTAGTATAGCTTGTCATGGATCTATCACTCTGAATCATGGCTTGGATGGATCAATCATTGGCTGTTCCAGCTTTGGTTATTATGTTCTGAGTTGAATCCATCCTTCCATTCTCAAACCCCATCAATGTGCTAATGTGTGGATGAGGAGAAGCATGTTATCGATTCAGCCTAAACGTTCAGCATATGTTCAACTCTAACAGGAACAATCGAAGCCTAAATGCTCTCCGAGGAAGTCTTTTACAGGATCGGAAATCAAATACTATCACCACAGATTATGAGCTATCTATAATTGACAGAATGACAATCGAGACAGAAGAAAATTGCTGATTTTATTGGAAAATATTCTCGTGTCGACCATACAGCTAATCTCTTAATGTGAATGTATCGAGTACATGTAATATATGGAGTCTTTGCACTCCACAACCACGACGATGTCACTGTGGAAGCCCGCGATGGCTCATCCACACTAGTATGCGTGCCGCCTCCCGTTCATCGGCACCATCGCCATGGCTCAAGCTCACTAGCGCGGCTGCTACCTCCATCTCTTCATCGCTGAGCTCATGCGGTAGACCGTCGGAAACGCTGCATCCTGCGTTTCCAGATTCGTCGGCCAAGGCGCATTCTCGATCGTCCTCCTCCTCTTCGGGCTTTGCATTGTTTATTATGGCCATCCTGAGCTCGCCGGCTTCGTTGGCTATGCCGTCGCCGCTGCCTCTCCGCCCTACTCGGTACACCCAGAGATCAAGAAAGTGGCCCGTTTGAATCCCGTTGTCGTCCACCAGATTCGTGTAGTCGGGTCCCATGATGCGGTAGGTCTTGATGGATGGGATGAACTTGAGGATGAGGTTGTACTCCCTCCCCGCCCCGTCGAGAATCTTGATCGGGAGGCCGCTCTTCTCCGTCGTCCGCGTCTTCTCCGCGGCGGTCATCATGCCTTGGAGCATTGGCTTGTTGAGTTGATTTACGGGCAGGAGGAGCCGATGCTGCTGCCTCTCGATGTCGCTCTGGGCGATCCTCTTCCGCATAACGCAAACAGGGTCATTGACCCGAGCTTCCATCGGCAACGACGTCACATGACGTGGTTGTCGGCGTTGTTCGTCGACGACGATGGAGGAGGTGCTCGTGCTCTTGCTCACGCTGGGGCCGCAGCCATCGGCGATCGTGGCCGCCCCAGTCCTCTGGCGCTTAGCGGTTCTTGAACCGCGCTCCTCCTCCTCCTCCTCGGCCGCTTCATCGTATAGCTTCGAGATGCCTTCCACTTTGCCGTTGACTTTCCAGATGATTCTCTTGATGCCTAGCTTCTTCAATGTTATCTCGTCGCTCGTCTTCTCTCCGTCTCCTCCGCCATCAACCCTCATCCGCTTGGCCTTCTTCCTGCCCTCGCTCCCGTCTTCCTTGCGCGCCCTCTTCGTCATCTGGTCGTTGCCCCACTCTCCACAGGTTCTTGGAGGCTATCTCTAGACGACGGGAGGAGCAGAGGCTAAGAAGAGACTGGGCTGGCGCGGCGTTAGAAGCAGAACGAGAACAAATGAGCCCTGCCGCTCTGAGAGAGAGATATATAGGATGAGGTTGGCTTCATAATACGACTCGGTTTCCAAAAAAGATCCGACTTAGATTATTCCAAACCGAGTCGGATTAGAAATTTATCTCCAAATGGTTTCCTAGTCCGACTTCATTTACAACGGAAGAGTTTGAAATAATTAACCCCAAAAAACTAATTAATTAATACTCATTGAATAAAAGCTACGATGTCCTAATTATTATATGATACACATAATATTTAAATGTTCAAGAATCAATTGCATAAATCACATTTTGATTATAACCAGATCAGATCAAAACTTGACGTTTAACCAGATGATATCGATTGCATAAATCACATTAAGATAGCCTTTCAAATAGTATAATTCATTCTTCGTTCATAATTAAAGCATTTTCTTCAACGTAGAGAGGATACTTGAAACTCAACTTTGATATCATAAAAATAAAGCAAACACTTACAGTGGTACAAACTCTCGCATAGGGCTGGACGGAGGAGCATTGCGGTAGTAATTAGTTAATACACAAGCCCTCTAATTGTCCCATCCCGAGTCTTCCTATATGTAGAAATCTCTAAAAAGGACTGCAGCCTGCACTTGCAGATGCTCCTACTCGACAATATAATTTGGAGCCACTGCCAGAATTCGGTTCTCACTCGATCTTCTTGCTTGACCATCCGACGCTGCTGAGCTCGTTCCATCATCTATCACTATCAGATGGCCTTCCCTCTGTATCAACCTCTGTATAAGACCGTTCCACACAATCAAGGCTTTGAGACCAATCCAAACGAAAACCTAACATCCTCCTATATGTTTCATTAGGCATACGTACCTCTATAATGGCTTTGATGCACTTGACTTCTTCCCGGACCTCATCGGTGTTACTGTAAGCACCTACGGCATTCTGCTGCTCCACGTACCAAATAATTAGATCCCCCTGCTTCATTCCAGCCAAACCACTTCCTGCAACAATAAACAAATCGGGGAAAAAAAATGATTCAAGCTGAGACTCGAGAGGAGTTGTCGTGTTTTAATAACTACACAACTAATGTAAGATATCCGTAATACTTCTGTACAACTGCCAAGAAGGTTATACAATTCAAGCAAATTTAAAGCATTGTTCTACTCTGGGCTCAGATCTAGTTAGAATTGTTCCTGGGCACCTCAACGAAACAATCTGAAACTATACTATTCCAGAAGGATAGTCTAAATTTGACCTATGTGCTAACTACAAGCTTATGCATGTGTACATCCTTCATAACATTTACGAATACAAGATAATATGAATATATCGTTAACTTAAGCTGTTTGACATAAGACATCCACACATGTTTATCCATTTTAATTCATTAAGCATCCAAACATACACAGTAACTTGGAGATCCTTGTGTCATTTAATAATTACATAACTTGAACACTAGAACTTCGACAAATTAACTGCCAATTATATCATTGCTCCACCTGTCCCTTAGTAATAATACATCTGCAGATATCACCGATAAGCATTTTTTCCTTTGTAAAGTTCCAATGTAATTTTTAGTTACGTGCAAGAAGACTCATAATTTGTGCTTAGTTAAAATTTTAGTGATTCTAAATAAGAAAAACCAGTTCTACCTATGAAGAGACTCAGAAGAAGCATCCAAGAAACAAATGTGATAATATTAAGTGTTGTTACCATCTTGCGCTACTGCCTCCTCATGTTGCCGCAGACGCATAACAAGGGCTTGGGTAACTCTCTGAAAGTGTTCTTCGGTTATAACAAGTTTCTTTTTCTGATGACTCTCAGATCCTTGTTCATTACCTGCAAGATCATTATGTTCAGTTAGATGTAGTTTCAGAAACAAAACACATGATCGATTACCATACTAATAGCATTAAAAATAGAAACCTACCTCCATTTTCTGCTGCTGGACTAATTCCATCAGAAGCCAACTCTGCAGCATCTTGATCAGGAACATTGACTGCAACACCATCTTCATGATCTTGGAAATCAGAAAGATCGATCTCACTAGATTCAACACTGTATGTATACACAAAACTTTTTAAGAATCCAGAAGAAACTACCTTGAACTTCTGTTGATATCTAAAAAAATCTTCTTGCCTGATAATGGATGTTTTTAGGAGTTTTACTGCCACGCGAACATGGGCTGGGAGCACCTAGGAACATCAAAACAGAACCTTAGATTCTTAACATTTCTAAAATAATTATGGAGGAGTTTCCCTATGGTTTCAGAAGAGGAAAGATCCTGAAATAGGTTCATGTAAAAAAAAAAAATTGTGTGTTCCATGCATCATGGATGTTTGCTTACCACATTCTCCAAATGACTCCTAGCAATTGCTTCAGAAAGCCTGATCAATGCCTCAAGTTGCCTAACTGTCATTCTGTAGGCCACTCTGGTTCCAGGAGTACTATCACCTCTTCGAAGAGCTACATATGATTCCACTAGCACATTTTTTGCTTCCGAACTAAGCTGCATTTACATAGCTCATTTAAGAATTAAATGATAAAAAAAATGAAAACCATTTTCTGAAATATGTGAGACAATACTGAGGAAAGTTGGTGAACCTGAGGTTTCAGAGACTTAGCATATGCTATGTATCGCTTTAACTCTGCAGTTGTAAATGCAGGGGCAAGTGCATCCTCCCTCTTCTGATGAACTCTCACAATGTGATGAGCAATATGGTAGTCTGTGTTTTCGTCTGGCTCATCGATCATAATGTACACCAGATCAAATCTTGAAAGAATAGCAGGAGGAAGGGCCACATTGTACTGAGAAATTGATATGAATATGTAAATCATTTTCCATGTTGTACTTCAAAATCAGTATCATTGTAGTCAGATAATTGCAGAAATCATGCGGAACTACCAAAATGCTACATAATTTTAAGGAAAAAGAAAATACATCCTTGCAAGGTGAAAAGAAATAATTAATGATCGACTTCAACATTCGGAAGGAAAATTCAAATTTCACTCCAAGAATTTTACCTTAAGGGGCTTTGACTTGTCATAGCGTCCTCCAGTAGGATTTGCTGCTGCCAAAATTGAAGTTCTTGCATTCAACGTGGCTTGTATACCTGCTTTGGTGATACTTATAGTCTGCTGCTCCATTGCTTCATGTATAGCAACCTTGAAATCGACTAAAAGTCAGAGCTCCAGAACTTCAAGTTGTTAGACAGTACATTATATATATATATATATATATATATATATATATATAGAGAGAGAGAGAGAGAGAGAGAGAGAGAGAGAGAGAGAGGAAAAGAACTACCTGGTCCCTAATGTCCATTTTATCAAATTCATCTATGCAACATATACCATTGTCTGCAAGCATTAGAGCTCCTGCCTGTAAAAGATGGAGATGCATCATTCAGAAGGCAACTAATTAAACTCCTGGATTCAGGGAATGTCAATTTCCTTAAATTCAGAATGATACTTTTTATTTTCTTTGTTAAAATCATTTCAAGTACAATAAAAGTTCA